TTTTAATCATCATAAGAAAGACAGATGCAATATTTAAGGTTAACGAATGTTCAAGCTCATCATCTCTTTGAGACATGAGGAACTGCTTGTTCTTATTTTCCATTACATAATTTAATCAGAATTTATGTCGAAATTTTCTTTTTTTCCAAGTTGTTTCTTTCTTTCTTAGTCACTCAAATCACTTTCTCGCAAAAAGGTAATGAATGACTTCCTCCTTTTTTTTTTGCTTTCGATATGCATTTTTTGCGATACGAATTTTTTTCGGTAAATTACGATTTAAAGCTAGGAAATTTCGTGCGACTATGGCAGTATATATAAGTAGAACGATTTCAATAGTATATGTTAAGGCAATACAACTTTTTACGTACATGAGACATATATTTCGTAACAAATAACATTATCTTTTTTGTTTTTTGTATAAGCTTTATTCTGTCAGAATACAAGAGAAAGTTACATCGAGTCGATTGCTCAACTTCAGTCGTTCGTACAAAACTAATTTTGTGTTTTTCGATAGTTTTAGTTTGGAATACTATAATGGAACATTTTTCTCTTGTATTCTGACAGAATAAAGCTTATACATTATCTTATTTCATTCTTTCTCCCACGTAATTACTCAATCAAGTGAAATTAAGAAAAAAGAAGTATACCATTTTTTGTGTGAATAATGCTAATTATAAAACATGAGAAGAATAAACACGACATTTTCTGTTCTTTCCGATAGATTCAGCTGTGAGCATTATGAGTGAACAACAAAAACAGTTTTCATCGATTACTCAACAGTACTATCGCTCGTTTGGAAATGTACTGGATCAAATTAGATCTTCGACATTATTCTCAATATTATTTCAAGTGCCTTTTCTGTAAAATTCAAAGCTTTATCAAAGATGTTTAGTCTCTCTTTTTCTTAAAAACGGTCAGGAGCTATATTAAAGTTCGGGTGATCATACTGAAGAAAGTTGTAGTTTGGTGGGCTTCCAGTGCCATAACCTCATCCTGTTACTCTAACACAATTAGCCCGTATATAAATCATAACTATGTAAAAATTGGCTTTACTTTTGACGACTACTGTGGAAGACATTTTAAGCTATTCACTAGGATACTTAATACGAACTCAAAGTTTTAGAAAAAAACTGGCATCTGTGATGGAAAATGAAAATGTTTTAAAATAGACGTTCACGGTGAAATGTCGAGTATTTTCCAGAAGTGCAAGACAGCTATTCAATACGGAAGTAAAGGTAGTGAACTATTTCTTCTTGTTGTGTACGACGGCGAAGTGTGATGCACTGAATTTGGATCAATCTATGAACAGTGGCGTTCAATAATCAAAGTGAATAAAGTGGGATATTACATTAAAAATATATAATTCATCGGTCTACATCTTTATTGCGTGATGTTATTCCGTTAGTAATGGTAAAATAAGAGCGTCCATCAAAAATTGTACTATTTTCTATTTCCTGAATTCATTCACCGTTTCGCTTGAGATACATAACTGTATATACGTATGATTTTTTATTTGGATTGCTTACACAATAAACGCATCATTTCCTTTATTCATGTCTCACTCTGTCACAAAAATATGTTTACCGTGTGAATTGCCGATCGTATCACTCACATACACAAAACTTATTATCAGACAGTCGATTTTATATTCTGTATTTTACAAAAATGGATAGCAATAAATCACTCACATATTTAAACAGTATACAAAAACGACATGATACTGTTCATGTGATATGGCTTGATGAAGTTAATGATAGTCATATGGAAGCAAAACAAAATCTAAATAATATTGTACAACATATATAGATATTTACTAATGCCGATGAATGTATCGCTCATATTTCATCATTAAATGAAATAGCTAAAGTATTTCTAATACTATCAAAATATTATGCACAAACTATTATATCATTCGTTTGCCAACTATCACAAGTTACATTCATCTATGTAATGTGTGTCAGTGCACTTGAACGTGGTGGTTTATCAACATTTTTATCAGATGATAAAATTGGTAGGATATTTCACGATGAAAACCGTTTATTTCTCAAATTAACCCATGATGTAGTTCGGTCATCAGGCAATCATCCTTCGTCCATACTGATGATTGTTATGAATTCACAAGAAGAAAGTAGATAAAACTACTTAACAACGCTTGAGTTGGAACAATCACGTCTATCAGTACCACCAGCCATCGTTCGTCATTTAATAAAAGAAATGTCAAAACAGTGTGAAACATATACATGGCATTAATTACTTATTGCTGTTCTGTTACGAATGAAAAATTCGAATGATGCTAAAATAGATATGTCAAATGAATGTTGTCTCTGTTACAAAGATGACATTTCTGAACAAGAAAAATTGATGATTTTGACAAAAATTATGATTCAACAAAAGCTATTTGGTGGTATACAAGAGGCAGTTTTCTTTATCGTGAATTGAATAAAGCATTAAGGACAGAAAAAATTGAACAATTATTTATGTTTCGTTATTTCATTTCTGATTTACACACTCAATTAGTTCAATTACATTCGGATTATGTTGCTCTACTACAAGAGTACGAACTTGATGTTATAATGGCATATCGTGTCCAAACAATTACGTCTGATGAATTTCAAAAATTAGAACAAAATATCGGCCGATTTATATCAATGAATACATTTATATCCACAACAACTGATCGAGATGTTGCCATTATTTGTGCTGGTGACGGTTCACAATGTTGACGGTTCTGTTCTACTAGAGATAACTGTTGATATTCATATTCGAACAAAACCATTTGCTAATATAAGAGAGTATAGCTATTTTCATGATGAAGATGAAATTTTATTTTCTATCGGAACATTATTTCAAATTGAATCAATCAAAAAACTTGAAGATCAAAATGTATGAGGTGTGAAACTACGATTTTACGAGGATGACAGTGTGCTAATGAAGTAATATGTAAGAAGCTATGAAAAAGACATGGATGAAACAACAACAGTAAATACATTTGCTGACTTTTTAGCTGCAATGGGTGAAGATATAAAAGCAGAAGAATATTATAAGAAAATGTTGGGTACCAGCAACGAAAATACAAATTCTGATCAAACTGTGAAAGCGTACAAGGGCCTAGGCCACATTGCCTTTAATAATGGTGATTATCAAAAATCAATCGAAATATTCCAGAAGGTACTCGTTTTTAGTGATCAGTCTATGGCCATATTATCTGATGCTGATTTCCGTATCGGACAATCAGACAAATCTTTAGAAGATTACAACCAGTGTTTAACATATTACACAAAAGCTCTTGCTGATCGAATTAATCCATCGTTACCAACGAGATACATAGAAATTTTCTCTATTAATCTCGAAAATTTTGTCCCTTCAAAATCTCAATTCTCCAATTGATGTGGGTTTTAAACAGTCACTTCCTACTTCCAAAAAATTAGAAACTTTATGATTTTGTTCACTTTTTATCAGGCTTTCGAATGGGATGTGCTCGAACAGAACGGACAAATAATGGCGGAGTTATAGTCAAAATATCCGAGACGGCTACTTTTCGCAAATCGACGATGGTGCTCATTTTGTAAATTATATAACTCAGCCAGAATAAGTTAGAAAGTTTTTTCATATTTTTCATAACTCCAGTTTTGATAGTAGAATTCCAATATGAAATAAAAAGTACATGTCAATTTTTCACTCGTGATCGGTCTTTGGCAAGATAGTGTCAATCTCTCTTAAGTATTATTAGGCTTATGTCAAACCAAAGTCAAAATACTACAAATAATAGATGAACAAGAACCGTTTTTTTCTTGATTTCATGACAAAATCTTATTTTCTATAGTCACAGCGATAGTGAAATGGTTTGTTAACATCATATGTAATGTGATTAGGTGAATTTTATGCTTTTAACGTTCAAGTAAAAATAATAAACTTGTCGAAGTCTTGTATTAAGCGCATATCGGAAAATCATAACTTGTCATAATTGAAAAAAGCATTAAGGCCGCCCATCGATTAGAGATAGAATGTTTGTAGAGGATTTCATATGACTTGTACTGACTATAGCGCATGGATGAAGATAGTCATGTTTTTGACTGTTCGTTAGGAGGTACTAACAACATCATAACGATGTTTTTTCCAATGATTATACCAACACAGTACCGGTAAATAAGCACAGTATGCTAACAGTTGAATATAACCGATAATAATGAATGTAACTGTTGCATGATACAGTTTCTTATTACAATAACTCAAATCTTTCTGATTAGAATCATATTGTACTCTTTTGTAAACATTTAATGTCCAAATACTGCCACAGATTAAACTTGCTGTAAAGATTAAAATGAGCAATATAGTTAAAATATACTGCATCAATTTCCATTTGCATTTTACATCCGATGAACTGCTATTAGACATACAACGAACAATTGGATAGATAACTGCTATTATGGTAGGGAATAGTGCACTGGCTAGATTGATATATCCAAATATTTGTAGAAATAAGGGAATTTTAGACTGTATTGTACATTGATTACGATATTTAGTTACAATAATAATTTCTGCTGCTGCAATTGGCAGTTGGATACACAATTGAGTTGAGATTAGACAAAAATAGACACAGAAATATTTGAATCCCCGACTTACTTCTTTAACTAGTTCTGCGCCAGTACCCATATCTTCCTAAAAACTGCTGCTCTGTATATACTGTGATATTAAAAGAGAGGGATAAATTTTGGTACAATGACAATAGGAGAGTGATGTAGATGAGTAGTGCGGAAAATATCATATAGATACAAAAAATTACTAACCCATGACCAAAACAAATGAAGAAAATGAAAATTATTTGATATTGTTATATGCTGCCGACGAAAAATATAACGTGCTTTTCTATATGTAAACAAATCATGTTATCGAAACTGTGGCATAATTTGTTAAAACAAAGTGCAAAAATCGTTTACTGTATGACTACCAGTGCTTGAACTATGAGCGTCTATATATAAAAACAAATTTTGGTGGTTGAGATCTTATGTTCAAAAATTGATTGAAAATTAATTTTTTTTATGAAAAACTAAACCGCCTGAGCTGAACTTTTTAGGATATAAGGAAGAAAAAAGCTTTGTGAAGCAAAGTATGATCGAAAATGCTTTCTTGATGCTGACAAAATGGTAAAAAAAGCGCAAACTCAGTCACTTTAAAGCACATTTTTTTCTACATGAAAACAAATTCAAAAATTTTAATTCGAGTTAGTGATATTCTTCTAAGGGTTTTTTCACCGTCAAGCTGAACATGCTGATGCAGTAATAGTGGAGCCACCAACAGGGCTAGACTGGGCTGAGCCCTGCCTAGAAAACTCTGAGCCCCGCCAGTTTTTTAAAAATTTTCCTGAAATTCAGCTTAAATTTATTAGCACTACTTCAGACCGAACTCCAGAAAAGTGATGGGCTGCGCCCTGCCTAGCACGAAATCCTGGTTCCGCCGCTAAAATGCAGTGAGCTAGCTTTTTTAAAACTATTTTATTTTTGTTGTTTCTTTATACAAGTTTTAGAAGGTTATCAAAATCGTAGGTTTGTACTATAAAAAAGATGAAGAAATGACTTTCTTTTGTCTGCATAACAAAAAAAAGCAGGCTGCTGCTAATCATGTCGCTGCAACAAAGAAAGTTGAGAAGATCACTTTTCAGTATTTTCTACTGAAGGGTTTAAATAAAAATAGAGACATTTACCAAGAAATGATCAACATTATTAACGATCAACAGCTTAGCATATTTGAGTGCCAGCCGACAACAATTCTGAAGCATAGAAAATTTATTCAGGTTTTAGAAAAGATGACAGATGTTCTTCGATGAGAGCTCACGAGCACATTTTTTATATAGAACTCGCGATGATGTCGTCATAAAACGTTCGAGTAAGAAGACTCATAGTGCGCACAAGATGACTGTCAAAGTCTTTCAAGAAGACAGCGGTCTTATGTGCGATTTTCATTCGTAAACGTTTCTTTTGTTCTTTATTTTTGTTATAGAAAAGTGTGTAGTGAAGTATACATGAGAAACATGACACTTGCAAGCAGTTCGAAGAGTATATTTCTCTAAAAAGCTCAATCAATGTTCGTCGGTAAATGTAATATCTTCAGGCCATCTCCACAACAAGTGTGAACTTTTTTCAGCCGTAGGATGGATAGTTTGGCGTTGCCGCAACCACAAATATTATAATATTGCTGCAACCCAAAACCTACCATACCTACACGTACCTACCCGTACCTATCCGGACCTACCATACGGTACGGGTAGGTACATGTAGGTTCGGGTGGGTACGGAAGCTTACCTACGAATTTTAGGAGTGCAGCAACCCGAAAGTATCCTCGAGGTCTTTTCAGCATGCTATACGGCAGTTATCTTATATTGGAAAATATGAATATATGAGAAACATTTGATGAGATAAGCTTACTTCGAAAGAACATATCTACTGGAAGTTTACTCTACTATTTTCGCAAGAATTCTGCAGCAGATGCAAAAGAATGACAGTTAATAAAGTTTTTATCGGATTGTCATACTGTCAGATATAATTCATTTTATTGAATTATTTATCAAAATTGAATGACAGCTGGATATTCAGGGAAGTAATGAGCAGAAAAACCCTGACTGAATGTATATTAAATAAATATAGTAAACCCACCATTGATATGAATTTGACAGTCACACTCATGTATCTATCTTTAATAAGTAACAAACCTATAGATATAAATTTATAAATTTATTATTGGTTTCTATTGCCACAGGAGTCAGCTAATCGTTTAACTCTGAAAAATAAAAAAGACTTAGTCATGTATCGTAAACGGCTTATACGGCAACCAGCAATCCGCTCTGTCTCCAATTCACCGCCGTCTGATACAGCGCCGGCAGCAGCAAACAAAAAGAAGAAATTGAATTCTGAACAACGCTGTCTATCCTGGTTTAATCTGATTTTATCAGCACTCATCCCTCTAATGATAGGTATCTTTACAGTTGTTAGTTATATACAACAACAACAGATAGCATATGAAAATCGAAAACAGGATCGTAAAATTGAAGATCGGCGTCGTAGTGAAGATCAACATCGGGCTGAGAATTTACATTATGAAAACGTTTATGAAAAATATATTGAAGATATATCAAATTCAATCTTTAAACATTCTACAAATCAAACATCATTTTTAGATAATCAAACGAGATTTGCCTATATTAAGAGTAAGACACTGACAGCACTACGACGTTTAGACTGGGAACGAAAAACATATTTATTTTTGTTTCTACTTGAAAATGGTCTCCTTCCTGGTACATCATTACTCGATCTGTCCGGTGCTAACTTTGTTAATATTACAGTAAAAAGTTCAATATCCAATAAGTATCAATTTAACAACTTGTCATTAACGTCAGTTGACCTTACAAATTCATCATTTATTGCCTGTAATTTTGTGTATGGTGGAAATCTGGCTGATTCAGCACTGTCGGGAATTGACTTTAGTAGTTCATTTTTCATGGATACTAGAAAACTCTATTTCATATTTGACAGTGTTGTTCTTGAACGAGCTAATTTTCAAGATGCGATTTTACACAACATTCGTTTTATTAACACTGAACTTTCATATTCTAATTTTAATAACACCGTTAGTTCACAAGTGTATTTTATCAGTGTTAATTTGATCGATGCAGATTTTAGTGGAGCAGTTGTTCTTGATATTAATACATGTATTGTCAATTCGAATTTGACTGGTATGAAATTTGCAAATGAGATTTTAATGCAATTAAATGAATATGGGAATTTACTGAATGTACTGTTACCGAATCAAACATGGTTAATTGATGAACGAAATTTGGTGAGAAATGGAGATGCTGAAACAAATGTAAGCAATCCTTAGATTCTCGCTTGCTACACAGTGTAGTTGTGAAAGCCTCAGAAAAGGTTAGTTAGAGATATTCTTGTGTAGATTTTCGATGATAGTATCATTGATGTGACACAGGTTTTTTCTGAGCCTGAAGACTGTACACCTTTCATTTTCATCGCAGTTCCTCATTTTCGCCGTAAAAACTGAGCTGCGTTGCGGCCATCGCATACTCTACATTTTAAAATTTTAGTGTGCATCCGAATTTGATACAGATACAGGTTCAAATAGGACCGAAGTTGATAGAGAAACAATTTCAAATTGGAATGTGTTTAAATGGGGCGAAACAAATTCTTCGATGATAATTAGTCTGTACAATAAGACTGATCTACTATTATTGGGCAATTGTTATTTTAACTTAGCAGATGAAGTAGCAGTGAAAATGATACAATTTATTGATCTTAGTAATTATTCTTTGATAATTGATAATGGATCAGCAGAATATTCTTTATCACTATTAGTTAACATGAAGCAGAATCACTGTTTACAAGAATATTTTATGGTTTCAATTACTCATCAGGTTGCAAAACAATCGCCGAATTTTATAATACATTACCATTACAGTAAGTTAAGATGTACTTACTGCAATTTTTTTATATCATAAATTTGTTTTTTTCAGTTTTAAATTATTTTAATCATACGGAATGGATTCAATGTACACTATCGGGACCAATACCGTGGAAGATGCGTTTGGTTAAAGTAGAAATTGGTTATTTGGCAAATGGAACCTGTTTAGTTGATAACATTGAATTTCATATTCGAAATGTGAAGAATGAAAGTTGATAATTCTTTTGAAATGACACATAACTTATGAAATGTAATGCTGTTGCAGAAACAAAATGTCTGCGATCATTCGCTAAGTGCAAGACTAAGCACTATAGTCATTTAATACCATTAATCGAATTTTGTATCTACTAAGGGCAAAAAAACAAAGTTGCTGCTCTCTCTCTCTCTGCCTCCTTATCTAATCATTCTTTTTTTCTTTTCATTCTCCGCGAAAGAAAATAAACTATTTACTATATTAGCAACAGCAGCAGCGTCATCCAGAACCAGCAGCAGACATTCATTTCGCCCGAGTGTGTCATAACAACTTGAAAACATGAGGAGGAAAATAAATAAAATAATAATAATACGGACAGAAAGATAATGAACGCAAAGAAGAAAGATCGATTTTTTTCTTCTTCTTCTTTTAAATGTGAAAAAGAGAAGGACAAAAGGAAAAAAAATGTCAGAACAGACGAAGAAGAAAAAAAAAGAATGGAAAATACATTGTGAATAGTATAGAAAGAAAAACAACAACACTGTAATAGTAGTAGTAGTAGTAGTGGCATATAGTGCGACTACTCTACTATCATCTTCAACTCCAAAATCGTTGTGTTTCTTTCACTCTCATTTTATCTAGGCTGAAAAGCAAGAAATCCAGTTTTTTTCTTCCTCATCCATTCCTTCACTGAGGTAATGGGCTGGATGAATGTTGAAGTGCAAAAAGAGCAATATATTACAGGTGTAAAAGAAATTTGTATTTATTTGTTGTTGTTGTTATTTTCTTTCTTATTTTTACCTTTTCTGTTTCAGATTTCTTTCCTTTTTTTTTGTGTTCTATTTACAGAAATATATACAAACTAATTGGACAATGATGAGGATGATCATCGGATAAATACCAATTCTTTTTTATCTATCTCACCTTCTCTCTCTCTGTGACGGATGGCCTCGTTTTCTTTCGTACTCTGTGATCTCCTTCGATTGCCTTCTAACTTTAAATGATACACACATTAAAAGCTGAGACTAAACCTATCTGCTGCTCATTCTATCTGTCTCTGGGTGTGTCTTCTGGTATTCTAAGGAATCTGCACTAAATAATTATAAACATGTTTTTAATTTCTTTTTTAGATTTAATTTTTTTTTATGACACAGTTGTATAGAATGAACATTGCTACAGATTTTTATTCTTGGTATTCCTCTTTTTTTATTATTTATTCCTTCTCCGATTCGGTTTATTAGAACCGTGTGACTTTTTAGTGATTTTCTTTTAATTGAAAAAAAAATGATGTTTAACTATTCTAAGGTTCAACTAGATCAAAATTCAAGTGAATTTTATTTTTTCGATTTTAATACATATTCTGGTTCGTCTTTGGACGTTAATTCCGAATAACACATTCCGAACTTCAAAAATCCTTTTCTTCGTGGAGAAAATCGCGAAATACTGAGACGAGGTCGAAAAAGCTAAAAACTATTCTTTTTCAGACAATGGTTCACAATTTTTTCCCT